ATGTCATGTATAACATTCCATAAATAGATTTACCAAGCATTTTAAAAAGAAAAATATATACATGTTATATATAAAATGTAATTTATTCGAATAAAAAGTGAGTGGTGCAACATTAAAGAAACCCGAATAGATTTAAGCACATGCCAATGTCTTCGTGATTATAGGAGAGGATTTTAAGCAGTGGCGCTCCCAGGATTTCAGTCTGGGAGGGGTGAAATGGAAAGTAAAATCTCAGTGGGACGTACAGAAGTGTTATAATGATTTAACATTAAAAGCATGGACATATGCAGACATATGAATTTGTTACAGTAATTTCTGTAGAAAATACATACATTTTTTTTTTAATTTTGAATCATACGACATCAAAGTGTAAATAGAGCAAACCAAGCTCGAGGAATCTTCATATATTAAAACAAAAATGCAAAATAATATAATCTGTCACAGACTTATCTACATAACAATGTCAGGCCAAACAACAAAAAATACATCTTCATGAAAAAAATAACATTAACAAATATGTTACGACTTCTATAAAGTATAAAACTGAATGTAAATCAAAATAAAATTCTTAATCATGAGAAAAACACTAAAAATATTCATTGCATAACTACATTCTCTTAGCCAGTCTCAAAAACATATAAACTATGAAACTACATCAGTCCACAGTCTCAAAATAAAACAATCATTACATTAGCTTAGAAAGTGATTTGAACAGAATTTTATATCAATCTGCTGGCCAATACATAAACCCACATATCTTGATTGGATACTTTGGAAAAGATCACCGTGGTGGTTTAAACGTAAGTAAACCCTTAACTACATCTGCTTTTTTATTTATTGACCAACAGAAGGGAGATGGATTTGAGAGACAACCTTAGGCAAAGTTCAGGGGTTATCATATTACAAAATCAAGGCGCCTATTATTTTTGCTGGCGAACCGATCTATGATTGTATTCACGTCTATTTTAATATCCCTATGCATATATAAAAGAGCTAAACCCACTAATCGCTCTTGTGACATAGTGGAGCGCAGCCAAGTTTTTATCCTCTTTAGATGGGAGAAACTTCTTTCAGATGTCGCAACACTTACCGGCAATGAAATCAATAATTGTAGGTATCTATTAATTGAAGGAAAAATGTCCATAATATCTTGTGTACGTGACTTCCAAAGGTCAAATTCTGGTTTTAATCTGGTACTTATTAAATTTTTGTTTTCGTTACCATTTAATCTATACAAATATTTAGAGATTGTTTCTAATATGTCCATTACTTCAGCTTCAGTTTTTGAATTGAATACTGACGCAAAGACAATATTAAATTTGTATATATTCAAAGATTCTTCATTGAACCGGTATACCAAATCGTATAATATATTATCTAGCAAAGGGGCATATAGGTTCAGTCTGTAATGGTTTTCCTTGTCAGACGTAACTATGTTCGGTCTGTTCATTTGCCTGCTTGTTATTCTTGGCAGTTGAATACCCATGGTTCCATGTGATTTCATTATAGATACGAATAGTTATTCTAAAGTGTTTTTCGGAATTTGCGCGTCTTTCTTGTACAACTGAAATAATATTTGCTATGAGTTTGACAGCGTATTGTTTGTCAATTGTTTTTGATTGTAAATTCTTACTCAGGTTGACTATTAAAGCTAATATATCACACAAATACGATACGATAAATTGGGTGGAAGTAATGGCAGTCTTCAAAGACTCGGCTTTTGAAGAATTTGATATACATATAATATTTAGTACATCTACAATTTTCTCGAATTTGCTTTCAAATTGGAGAGCAGAATCATGTCTCTCGGTCCATCGTGTTTCGCACATACTGTGAATTTGATATCCGTCTAGTTTTCTTATAATTAATACTGTATTTCTTTTAGCGGATGCATTGAAGAACGCAATTACTACTTCATTATACCTACAGTATTTCTTACTGCTTGGACACTGCTGCTTTTTGAAATCGAAAGATTCAAGGTATGATTTGCGCATGGGCTTTTAAGAGCATTTGGCAAACATTTTTGCAATTCCATTACAGCGCCCTTTTGTTCACCTGACATTAGGTTACACGTATCAGTACCAATGCCCACACATAGTTTTGAGTCTAAGTTATTGATTTTAAAGAAATGTTTGACTGGTTGAGCAAGAATTTGACCTGTGTGTTTGGGCTCCATTGTATCTTCATCATTTGAATAGCAATCCACAAATCCCATAAAGTAGTCTTAAATATGTTTTTGATAACAATACCGCAATACGATTGACATTTGTGATTTATGGCTAATGTCTGTAGTTCCGTCAACATAAGGGTACGAACATAGTGGAGCGACGAGGTTTCAGATTCAGATAGAGGCTAACCGCGCGGTTTGCCGCTATGTGAGTCAAAAACACAGGTTGAAACCTGTCGGGCCATAGTAGCGCGATAAGGCATGCGTCGAGTCTCTAGGAGGTTTCGAGCGACGAGTTTTAAATAGTTGCATTCAATTTTTGTCACGCGTTTTCAAGCGATTTAATAATGGATGTTGTGCAATTAATAAATAGTGTATATCACAGAAGGGCTATATGGGATCAGAGTCATCCAGATCATCGCAACCGATACGTGCTAGATAAGTTATGGGAGGAGGTAGCCAATGAATGCAATAATCAGTCGGGTAAGTAAATAATTGTATTTTATACACATTTCAACAGCTAGAACTTACATCTTGCGGTAAAATTTTAAGCTGTCTCGTAACTGATTGGAAAGAAATTAACATAGTTACAGAAAATGTCGCGAACTCTTTGACCTTCACCCAGTTGCCTTCCTCTAGGTAATTCAAACATCTGATCTCTAGGAACTGCATCAGTTACTAATGTTAAATGTCGTTGAAATCCCTCTCGGTCCAGTATTGTATTATGCAAAATGCATATCGCCTTAATGATATCATCCGCAGTCTTTTCAGTAGTCTCTATAGCTTTGGACAGAAGACGCCACTTCGCGTACATAATTCCAAAGGTGCACTCGATAGTTTTGCGTGCTCTGGACAATCTTTGGTTAAAATTTATATGTTCCAAAGAGCGGTTCCTTCGATTGTATGGTTTTAGCAAATTGGGCATTAGTGGATACGCTTCATCTGCAATAAATACGTAGGGAGCGCGGACATTTGTTCCTGGTAAACTATCTGGATTTGGCACATTTAGTTTGTTTTGGTGTATCCGTTTGTACAAATTGGAACTCTGAAACGTTCCCCCATCGCTCTGTTTGCCGTAACCTCCGACATCTATCACAAGCAATTTGTAATTTGCGTCGCAAACTCCTTGTAGGACGATAGAAAAATAATGCTTATAATTGAAGTACATGGATCCGGAATGTTGTGGTGCTATAACTTTGACGTGTTTGCCGTCAACAGCTCCGATGCAATTGGGGAAGTTCCATACTTTCATGAAGTCTGCACTTACATTTAAAAATGTTGCCGTAGTAGGTTCTGGCATGTGAAGTGGTTGCAGCATGTTCCATAATATTTTAATCATATGTTTTATAATGCTCGCAACAGTACTCCTGCCCATTCGAAAGGAAAATGCCAAGTGTCTAAAGGACGCTCCTGTTGCAAGATATCTGAAAATTTTTGTTTGTTGCAGTTAAGAAAGTTTCTGAGAAGTGGAAAAATCTACGTGATTATTTCAGAAAAGAACTGAAGAAAATACCTCTGCCCCGGTCTGGTGATCCAGGCGAAGAGGCTCTTAAAAAGAGCTCCTGGCCTCATTTCAAAAGTTTATTGTTTCTGAGAGACCAGTTTCTGCCGAGATCCAGTCATAGCAACCTGTTGGATCCCGACAATGACACACAAGTTTCGACACCCTCTACGCAGATGGATGAAAATGATGGTGACTATGACGAAGACGAAATGGACGAAACGCAGGGTGTAGAAACGCAGGAAACAGAACCCGACCACACAGAATCAGTCACTCCAATTCAAAGCACACCAAAAGAACCACGAACTATTCTAAAGAATAGGGCCCGAAAACGGTCAAATCAACTTGACGCTTTTCTTGAGATAGAGAAGAAAAAACTACAATATTTAGATGAGAAACGTGTCGCTGCAGACCGTGGCAGAGCCCTACCAGTCACAGATGACGATAAACTGTTTTTTGATAGCCTTTTGCCCCACGTGGTGAAAATTAGGCCTCATCGAAAACTTCAGTTCCGCAATGAAATTCAAAATTTGGTTCAGAAGTATGCCTATGAAGAGTACTCGAACAATCAGTCCACCATCAATGTCAGTCATTCTGTTAATCATAGCCCGACATATACATCTCAACCACAAACATCGTTTGCACATTCATCCCATTTGTTGCAGGGGTTTAATTACGCAGATCAGTAAACATTATAAGTTATTATAAGTTATCGTTCGTTGTGTTCAGAAGACAGAATATTATTTTGCGTTACCGTTTGTTTGTTTATGAATAATAAAAGTATTATCCTTAATACATAATATTCTCTTACCGAATTGTTACCACCAACATTTCTTCGGTTCCTATAGGCGCTTGATTAAAATTTGTCCATTTCTTGTTGATGCAGGGTGTAACTTGTTCTAATATATACTGAAAGGTGGCAAGTTCCATTCGAATGTAGTCAAATAGCCTGTCGGGATAATTTTTCAGTTCTAGAAATAAATGATGGAATTCCCCTAGGCGTTTCCGACTTTTATTTACGTCGTGCACACTACACTGCCGCACTCCAGTCATTAAAAGCACTTGCAGGTAAGTATTATTGAGAAGAATGTCATCGTCACTGTCGGAATACATATTTTTACGTCTATCTTCGACAAAACGCGACGCTCTACTATAACCATAGGTGCCTCTTGCCTCTACGCTCTAGACGCTACCAGATATCTGAATCTGAAACCTCGTCGCTCCACTATGTTCGTACCGTAATACAGTACTGACTTTGGCTGACGCGACTTAAAACTATATCCAAGATTTCTTCGCCACAACATTCTATAATTTCATTTTGGATGAGGCTGCTTATGTAGTAGCATGCGCTTTTGAGTTCTCTAAGTTTTTTTTCAATAAATTATCGCCGCTATCGACTCTAAACCGTATTAGTTTTCTAAAATTCCCTTCATTATTAAGGACATCCTCGTCATTCGTGCTGTCATTAGAAAAAAGTCGTCCCCTATCTCTATGCCCTCTAAGTGGTATATTTTGGCGTCCTAAAAAAATTATAGATTCTATTATAGGAGTCAGCCTTTGCCGATTTTCTGATACTTGCTTAATTCGCTTTGAACCTATTATATTTCTTATATCATTCTCTGGATTTTCGTAAATCTTTAAAAAGTTTGTAGCATCTGAAACTGCTTCTGTATGATATATTGAGTTCTCATGTGTCTCACAATCACCGGTTTTGCCATACAATTTCGAAAATTTCTTTAGTGGTACAGTAACAAGTTTTCCCAATTTAGTTGATTTATGTACTCCTCCTAATTTTGCAAAAACCACGCAATATTTACAGAAAAGCCCTTGTAGTTCCTCTAAATATGACAGCCAAGGAAATTCCTCAAAGTTTTTTTTTTGACAAGTTACATTTCACTTCTTTATTATTTTTCAAGTGCATGGAATATGGATATTTGAAAGAGTTATTAGGGATCATTGTACACCTCAATAAGGTATGTTTTTCATGGGAAGACAAGTTGCTGCTGAAATTTACATATGGCGCAACATCAACAAAACTGGATCCTTTAGGTTTCGCACCCGATTGTTCAACACTTGGTTCAGCATACGGTGCAACATCAAGAAATTTTGAAGTGGAAGGCTCAGATTGAATTGTAGGATTATCATCAGTTTTTTCCGGTAATTCTTGTGCCGGTGGATCAGATAGCTTGTTTTGTTTAGAAAGGAACCAATCGATGGTATTCTGTTTCCTTTTACTCATCCTGACAACAGCAGCCGTCAACATGCACTAAAAGTTACACAAATATTGTCAAATAAACGGCATTATTGGTTTCCACTCATTCACGTATCTCATAACAAAGAACCTTTTCTGTTTGGAAAACAAGATTTCTTAAGTTCAGGCAATTTTCAAAAACTAGATATATAATTTGCCATCTAGGACGAACGAAATGCACTGAAGTGCTTATATACACAGACTTCCGAGACAAAATAGACCTAGATGATAATGATAGCTGGAGTATGAACCAAACACTTCGTAATTGAAATTATATTAAATATCCATTTTTCCGTCTGTCATTTTTTTAGACGATTATTTTATAGTATAAAAATTAAAAACAAACAGAAAATAATTTTCTGGCTTATGCGCGGAAAATAAAAAATCAATAGAGCATAGAAAATAACGTTAATACCAACCAGATCAACAATACTCCGCTTGTTCACTTCTCAGTGAATTTTTGTTGCGGACTCCGGACTGGTACAGAATTTAGACACTAGACTAGACCATAAAAGACTAGACTATACCTGTTCCAACAGGAAGAAGCGCACACCGTTGCTGTTGGTGGGAGAGTAGTCGTTAGTCGCATGCGCACAAGTGGGTTGGCAGTGTTGCCGCTATCATTTCTTAAAGTTACAGATTTTTTTATAAGACGTTTACTTTATACCACCTTTTCAAAGACTGCTCGAGTCGTCTGGGGGAGGGGTAATTAACCGCTTTACACTATCTACGAGAATATGAACGATGGGATGATATTTTTAACACTGAGGCTACATTACATTCGTATATGGAACAACTAGTCTCCAATTGTTACTACTACTATACTAATTTAGTTTTGGATACTATTGAACTGGTCGGTGCTCGCCACTCTGAAAGTTTTGCTTACTTTCGCTGGCAAGGGGGAGGAGGGATTAAATACGAGTATTAGAAAAATTCGGTTTACGTAATAAGAAAACTAATAAAATCATACAAAATTGAAGAACTGTTTTATTTCTGAGGAGTTCGACCCGAATGTCAAACCAGCTGTCTATGATCCAACCTTTATAGAAATTTGGATATTGGAACCTACAAGGGTTTGATGATCATCATCTATCATGGGTTTAAGGATGAACGATTGTTTGTCCAACAATTGATATTTAACTGTTATCAATTGTTCAGAACGCATAGGCTATTTTGAAGGCTAGCATGCACGGAAAGCAAAATTATCGATAAGGCAGGATCCCCATATACTTTTGCAATTTTCTCATTCTCAAAATATGGGTAGGGTAACATTTTTGGGCAGTTTTTAGGCGTATCTCGTACATGATTTTAGGAATGGACAATCGAAATCTCATTTAGTAAAGTTACATGCTCTGAAGCAGCCAATAAATCGTTAATCATAATTAAATGCAAATAAAATTTAAGGGGGACCCCTATTTTCGGGCTCTACACCGAAAAGGCTATACCCGTAGCTGTTATGTACGATATAATTCCACAATCACACGGGTTGAATACCGATAATAAGTTACAACGAAGGCTTTTCCTATCGGGCCTCACCAGCAAATCTGTTATTTTCCCGGTTTGGTATAAATGCGACAGCATAGGATAACTCTGTTGATCTCTCCAGACTTGATTGACTTTTTCATCCATCCCTACAGAGCTTATCTTCTTATCCGTGTTATATGTTATTCTAACAACCAGTCTCGATACGAGGGGCGACAAGGCGAAAATACTTGTATAATTGGTATCGATTTCAACACTACGCTACCAACTACCACGAAATGTTAGAACCCATAGTTTGTCGACCGAAGGATTCTATGGTCCCGTTCGCATTTTAACACTATGGTATAGGATTCGGCACCAGCCTTAATTTTATTGGTCAATTTCAATTTATGTAACCAATAACAAGCTGGTTGCCGAAATCATTACCGGAATGTTAAACAGTGCTGAAAACAGTGTCAGAATGTTATCAATTTAAACTGCTTCTACTAATATATATATATATATATATATATATATAACAAAAATAGGAAAATAGTGGGCAAAATCCGCAAAAAGTGGATTCGAGCAGAAAATAGGATAGGTAACCCGAGCGATATATAAGCCAACCAGCAGAAATACGTATCGCTCGGGTTACCTATCCTATTTTCTGCTCGAATCCACTTTTTGCGGATTTTGCCCACTATTTTCCTATTTTTGTTATATACCTTTCTCCGCATGATAATTTTCTCTTTATATATATTATTTTCCTACTTGTTGTTATGTACCTTTCTCCGCATGATCATATTCTCTTTGTAGATCCTTTGGGCTTGAAGTACCACAGCAAGTGGCTATAACCGGCCGCGTGGTTGTGGTTAGACGTCTCCTTGAAAATTCGAGGTCGTATAGCCATTTTATACTACAATGTGTAGGTTGGCTCTTGTTGTGGACTTCGTGTGTCGTTTTTTTCCCCCTCCAACTTCGTTTCCTCAGGTTACACCCGTATCCGGATGTGTGGGCATGTGTATCTACTTTTGTAGTTTCATATGTGCATTCATTTCGGGCCTGATGAAGCCAACCAGCAGAAATACGTATCGCTCGGGTTACCTATCCTATTTTCTGCTCGAATCCACTTTCCTCCTTTTTGCGGATTTTGTCCATTATTTTCCTACTTGTTGTTATGTACCTTTCTCAGCATGATCATATTCTCTTTATATATATATATATAAATATAACTTGAGACGTAGTCAGTGTCACATGCCCACCATTTTGTGCAATCATCAAGTGGCTTCACGATGTAATGTTTAACTGTCAATTTCAAAAAAAAATTTTTATCTGTTTTTAACTTGTTCTTGTCATACAGCTGTGTGTATTTTATATAATTTTGACCATTGTACCATTTATCCAGCTTTCACCATGTTACTGGATGTTTCCCTCATCCTTAACGTAAACAACAATTAGCAACATCCTCACATACTACTCTCGTGATGATGATGGCAAAGACCATTGAAAGCTAGAGAGGATAAAAAAAGTATAAAGAGTCATCCTTGCTTAAATTTTGTCGAAGTACCCAACAAAAGGCGGAAGCTTTAATTTTTCACTTATATAAATATATATAAATTTTTCATGTAATTTTTCTTATTCCTAAACCAAATTATTAATTTTAAAATCATTAAATATCGTAATAGGAAACAACGTGCGTTGATTATTATCTTACGTATTTTTAGCGGAAGGTAAGTAAATTTAAATTTAAATTGATAACATTCTGACCCCATGCTCAGCACTGTTTAACATTCCGGTAGTGATTTCGGCACCCGGCTTGTTATTGGTTGAATAAATTGAAATTGACCAATAAAATTAAGGCTGGTGCCGAATCCTATACCATAGTGTTAAAATGCGTCCCGTTCACACCGCTACTCAAGCAATCACAGACACTGACATTACTTCGTTTACACATACTACGTCTCAAAATTGTTTATCATAACGCGTTTTAAATCAATTACACCACATAATCAATAGACCCTCCAAATGGCGAGAATCGTTTTAGCTGGCTAGCTAGCTAGCTGGATGATTTTTTATGAACTCCTTCAACTAAATCCTTTTCAGATATACATACCGGTAATTGTAGAGAAAAGTGCTCTAGGCCGGTGCTGTCTCCTAAACTGCACCACTGATCTTATTGGCTCTACATAAGTGTTTCTCAATATATTGGCATTGCACTGAGATATATCTCATCAGTGTCTCAGTATCCGCTAAATTTTCGAATACTCGGAGAGATATAGCTGACGGCGGACAAAACTAATAAAACAAGAGCTTCAAAATTATCGCCCTATCCCAGATAAAAAACGTGTAAAAGGTGTATAAGGATTACGCCTGTACCAGGAAAGTTTTAAAATGTGTATATCGTGCTTGACTGGGGTTACAAATAGGGAGGATACGGAGGCTTAGCGCTGATGTTCAAAACTTCTCTGTGGTACGAATTCACGTAGGATTTGATTAACGGACAGGTCTTTAGGTATTATTCACCTCAAAGTTACGTAGTTACCAAGGGAAACTTTTCAAATGAATGGGAAAAGGTCAAGGTACCTCGCACCAAATTTTTATAGTGACAATGACCAGACAATTTTTTAGCCGAATACAATTTTGCAAATTATTGTTGAACAGTGTTTTTAATATAAATTCTCAAGGTCCCCACACGGACATATTTATATTTTCTAAAAGTGTTCCCCGAAACTATTTGTCACAAACATCCAAAAACCATAGTACTTCAAATTCGATTTTTTGACGATGGGAATTACTTATCAGGCAACG